TAAAAGGAAATAACGAAACATTCAAAAATTTTATTTTGACGTGTATAAATCATCTACGAATAATAATGGTGGAAAATTTCCTTAAATAATTGAATTTTAGATTGAATAGAATGAATTTGAATTAGAGTTTAGAATTTAGAATTCGAATTAAAATTGGGATATTTTTATCGAGTACTTTAAGGGAATCGATCGATTTGTCGAGTTTATCTGTGTAGTGTTAGAATTTAAGATTTAGAATAAATCCCGCTGTCACAAGGCAGCGAACTAGGATCATTTTGGGTAATGATATGTGTTGCGCCAATGTAGTGTTACTTGATCATCTAGGGGTTAGCGTTTGCAATATCCGAATATTCATTCATGACATTCGACGATCACACCGTTTTAGAAAGATTACTACTTATTATTATGAATTATTATTACAAATTTGTTTTCGCCCAGGATAGTAACTGTGGTCACTAAACACGATTACTCCCAAGTACAGTTACTTTAGGGGTGTCATTACTACTATGTAGTAATGGTGTGTTTTAATTATTCGAATTAAATGTAACAATAGTAATAGTAATGGTAATAGCACTAGAAAAAAGTTAAAATCAACCGACAATTGGAATGTTTACGATTTTTTTTTGCAAATTATTTTTTATTTATCATCATCAACGTAATTTAGTCGATCTTCTTAGAGCGTAATAAGATAAAATTCTTATTCCAATACAAATCAAAATCAATATTATAACATCTTCAAACCATTTCAAGTCATGTAAATGAAGTCTATCTAATACAGAAACACCAGGTAAAATAGCATTTGAATTTGGATTTAAACATTCGCTGTAATCGCTTTTTTCACCAAAAGATGAACATTTAAAATATGATCGACTTGTGCCGAATTGAATCAACATTAATAAGGAGTATGAATGCTTTATGGTATTATCTCAAGTTTAAACATACTTCATCAAGAAGGTCTTGTACATTGTGATCTTCACAGTGGTAATATTTTATATTTACAATTTTTTACTCGGAGTGTATTGATTGCAGATTTAGGGTTATCAGGCTCATTTGATAAAGAAACATCAAATAAAAATGATATATTTGGAGTACTGCCATATGTTGCACCAGAGGTGTTAAATAAGCAACCTTATACACAAGAATCCTATAGCTTTGGGATTTTAATGTCAGAATTATCAACAACCATTCAAAGATCAACCACATGATCTAGATCTTGCTATTAGGATCTGTGGTGGCGTAGAGTGTAGTCATGTGATTTTTCATAACAACTGAAAGGATGAATTTTTTACAGTGACGACACATTAAAATAAATTATAATAATATAATTCTAAAACGATCAAGCTTTTAATAAATAATATAAATAATTCCATCCTTTTGATTTAGCTTCAACAACCTTTGAGGCCATAACTAAACAAGCTATATACA